GGAAACCAAACCTGACAGGGAAAGAAAGATAGGGAAAGAAAGATAATCCAATTATGACAAAGCAAATAACACATCCCACAGATCAACGTATCTTTTTTCTTTTTTTCTTTTTTTCTCTTTTTTCTTTTTTTCTTTTTCTCTCTTTTTCTTTTCTTCTTTTTTTCTTTACCTGCCCCCACCTCGGCAGATAGGACAGCTACGGTGAGGATGATGTGGATGTTCACAAGGATGCCCAAGGAGAGCTGCGCCAGCACAGCATTCTGCAGGACAGCTCGCACGAACCATCCCATCAAAACAGTCCTGACAGATGACGTGTTGTCCACATGTCAAAAACACGGCAGGACGTTCATCACAGTGCGGCATCATACAGTTCTGATAGCGTCCTTGGGCTCAATAGGGACAACGTATATCTGGGTGATAGGGATGTGTACAATGAGGAAATGTTGGACACCCTTCAGGACAGACGGCGGCAGTCGCAATAGATTGATAATGGCTATGGCATAGATGATGCATTCCACAGCCAAGGCGCACCGCGTCTCTGTCCCGACAGGCGTCACACGAGAGTCSGKCAATAATCCAGAATAAAGTATGATTCGACAACGCTCGCAAAAATTCATTCACGTCGAAAATGACCTGACTCATCGTCCCACCATCCCACAGTTCCCACTGGGCAGCTGCACGAATGAGTGCCATATAATGCCCGGGTCTATGTAAAATACAGGCAAAAATATGAGGATGGTTATTGAGGTCATCGCCTGGCGTCGCATGATGCATAAGAAGGTGGCGACCGYGARACGCTAACTGTAAGACATTTACAGTAAAGCCTCCTGAGGTAGTATAGTTACTACCTTCTGCAGGTGGATATATATATTGTCACATTGTGAATCAGAGCGATATATATATATATATATCGTCACAAATAGAACTGCCCGGTAAACCGTAGGCAGAGAGAGAGAAGAGGACAACAAACGAGGGGCTGTGTATATCGTCACAAATATATATCGTCAAATAGAACTGCCCGGTAAACCGTAGGCAGAGAGGGAGAAGAGGACAACAAACGAGGGGCTGTGACAAACTGTTTCGTCGGAGTTTCACCGACTCATCAGGAGGCTGATATATATATATATATATATATATATATATATATATATATATATTGTCACAAAGCTATCAGAGCGCAAAAGCGAAAAAAAACAAAAGGAAACATATCGTCGTCACAAATATATCAGAGCGCAAAAACGAAAAAAACAAAAAAATTCAATTCATGTTTTATCTTCTTACTTACAACTCCCCCTGTTCAAAACCTCTTGCGTACAAGGCCACCCACGTGGATGTAGGTTTGACAATATATATTGTCACATGATATCACAGCGCCAAACGGAAAAACGAAAGAAAACAAGGAAAACAAGAAAAAACTTGATTCATTTTTAATCTTCTTCCCTTACAACTCCCCCTGTTCAGAAAGAACCTCTTTTGCGTACAAGGTCGCCCACGTGGATGTAGGTTGAGCGGCGGCTGCCCCCACCCCCGTGTGCCATATCGACCCACTTGCACACAGCCAAAAGGCAAAGAGGCAAAGAAAAGAGGAAAGGGAACAGCCAAATAATACAGAACAGGGGGCAACAAAACAGATCCCCCCCACATGCAAGCACCGCCCCTGCCCACAGGCCAAACGACGGCGCAAGACCAACCAGGATGTCAAGCATTCTTGTCTGCAACAAAATCAAAAAGAACCCGGAGGACAGGTATAAAAAGCAATCCTGGATGACGATTCCCACATGCAAGCACCGCAGTGGCAGACAAACAGATGTCCAATCTCTCCCCCACTTCCCGCCTCGCTCCACTACTCACCAAATGTGCAAAATGAGAATGAATCTTCCGTTAGAAAATGGGATGATACATCGCCATATTTTTTGTCATTCGCACATTAGGTAACTAGTTGAGCGAGGCCTGCCCACGCGTCGCTCATGATTAGATTCCTTCACTGTGACAGAGCCAGGCCGACCGCTATACAGAGGTACACAGCGTGCTGCAAGTGCCATTGCCAGCCCCACGTGCGCCATGCAACCATTCACACGTGCTGAACGTGTTCCACGTGGCAGACCCCCTCACTCATACCTGACTTGCCTCTCTACCGATCATGCATGCCCTACATCCTGCGACACGACAGGGGTAGCCCCCGAACAAAATAACCGAGGGAGGCCAGCTGTAACCGCGACAGGGAGGGAAACAGGGTAAATCGTTGATTTACCTCAGCGCGCTGTTTGTGTTGATGACGATCCTCTTGCCATGGCTAAAGAGATTCAGCCTCGCAGATCCTGATGCCTATGGTAGCCTTCAGATAAGTCCCCTCCTCCTAATCGAACCTCCTCTCGAAAGTTATCCCGTCGTTCCGACAATACCGGTAGGCTCCCTCTTTCTACCTCTCCTGCCTCTTCTCCTTCTCCCTCCCCTCTTCCGTACGTCTTCCTCGTGGTCGACTTCTTAGTCTTCTTCCTTTCTCCTTCACCTCCTTCCGTTTCTTCTCCTTCTCCTCCTCCTACTTCCTCTTCTTTCTCATCTTCTTCTTCCTCTTACGCCGTCGCTCACTACATCACTTCTCATCTTCTTCTTCCTCTTACGCTGTCGCTCACTACATCACTTCGCTCTTGCGGCGGCCCATCGGCGTGGGTCTGCAGGGACCTGCCGTCGTTGACGCTGTCTATCTACTCACACGCTCTTTCCCCTCAGCTATGCCGGGTCTCCTCACTCTGAGCGTGGGAGTTCGAGGTGCCCGTGTTGATTAGTCTCGATCCTATTTGTTTGACTCACTACCTGCCTGCACCCATCCAGTAAACATTGGGTAAATAAATGGTAGAAACTAGAAATGGGGGCGTCAGTAGATGTCGTGAATAGGCCAAGGGAAGGAATTCAATAGTGCAAGGTGCAAGGCAAGGGGTACTATACTGTGGTAGGATATTACGGGTAGGACGGGAACCAGGGAAGGTGATGGGCGGGAAAATACGAATTGGACCAACTGGCGGAGCTCAGTTCGAACTCTTTCTTTTTTTTTGTGTGGGAAAAAGCAAGGAGTCCATTATCTATATTCTTCTCTCAACTTCTGTTTTTGCCTTTCACTGCCTACTCGTAAGGCTATCTAGAGGAGTCCATTACCTGTCAAATCTGGACAGGACGGCCTTTCAGGCCTTTTTAATTCTCATTATAGTATTACGGGGAACCTTGTAGCAGCCACATCCGTGCTCAAGCCTCCAACGAGGGAACATGCGGGGGCTGCACCCACCAGCAGATGCGATGCCTGCTACAGCAGGTGGGCGATACCGGCCAGGGGTCAGCCGGTACCGAGCTTCTTCGATGGGCCAGTCACTGTGCCTCCCCTCCGGTCCCCTCCCCCTATGAACATCAGCACTCTGCTCAATGCCATTGTAACCGCGTGGGGCGTGTGATACGCAACCTCACGCCCCCTCGCGGCTTCCCGTACGGGGTCGCCGATCAGAGTTCTAGGAGGGGCGTGGCCAAGGATTTTCTGGCCGTAAGGGTTGAGTCTCCCGGACGGAACGGGAGGCCCTCGTTTCGTGCCAGAGGTTTTCCCCGGAGTCGAACTGTCGTCGCGGAGTCCCGTGGGGGTCGGATCACTCCGAAATGATAAATCAAAAAGGTTTCCGCGAAAGTGAACTGCCGTTATGCATCGGGACGAAAAAAGGCATCAAGGGGAGAGGGCCATGGCGGCGGAAGACAAAACTTCGGCCGTCAGGGGTTTGGGGGATAGGTGGTGGGTTCGAAGCCTTCATGCCTTATCATCGGCCTCACAAAGTGGCCGAACCCTCGGGTCTTTGTTGTGGAGGTGGTTGGTTCGAGGCCTTCAAGCCTCGGCGTCGGACTCACAGAGTCTGCGCGACAGTTTCCGGGAGGGTAAAGCGGCGGGAGGACTCACCGGCATCTGAATTCGAAATTGCGCGGGCAGCGCCCCCGCACTATGGGAAAGCTCGGGGAAACGTGTCGCTCCCTCGTAACCCAGGACCAACCGTCGCCAAGAACATGAGTCCCCCTGGCGACACCAGCGACAATCAAACTGCGGCCGCCACGCGGCGTGAGCGGCCGACCAGGGCAACACCGTCAAACCCGTATAAGGCAATATTAGAGTCGGGGAGTCAAAACGATCGATCAAAACAAACCCGTTTCCCCTTATCTCACAAGCCCGAGGCGGGTCTTGCCAACACACTYGCTCCGTCCGCCTCAGCGCGCGCCGTACGTCCGCATCGCAATAGACGCTGTCATCATCTGCGATGGGGAAGGTCGGTAGCGAGATGAGACGATCGGAGGTACGTGATGAACACGGGCAAGGTCCCTCGTTCCCGGTCATCCGAACCAACACCGAATCCATACAACAATCGTCGCAACTCTTCTCTCTCTAAGGTGGGTGCGTCGAGGGAAGACGACGAAGTCTAAGCTCTCTCCCCTTGCGGGGGCGTCGACCGTCCGCGCGGACGCAAGCGGTTGACGTCACCGGTACGGGGGCGAGAAACTCAAAAGGCGATGACTATTAGTTCAAGAAGGAAAGCAATCGAGTGAGAGAGAGAGAAAGAGAGAGAGAGAGAGAGAGAGAGAGAGAGAGAGAGAGAGAGAGAGAGAGAGAGAGAGAGAGAAGAGAGAGAGAGAGAGAGTTACGCCGAGACCGCGCGCGAGCGCAGGAAAGACCACTGAGGGGAAGGGAACAACCGGATCAACACACTCGTACTCCTAAGCAGACGTCCCCCAGTTCAGTTTCCCCATCCCCGCCCGGATGAGTACATACACACATCCATGCATGCAATCAACAAACTTTGACAGGACATTTAATCATCCATGGACCTTCGACATCACTCATGCGCACCACCAGCTCCCATCACTCGGGGCTTCACACACACGACATGCATAGACAAAGCAGCAATGGAGATAAAAGCGAGCCCTTCTTGTACACAAAAAATTCAATTAACTGCCGCCCCCAGGCGCAACCTTCAAAACTCCCTAAGACCACCGACCACCATAGCCACAAGGCCTCGCCGCGGCCCGCGTCCAATCCCCACCACTGCTCAGTCCCTCCGACTGCTTCGCCCCGAGACTACCGCGGGTCCACCCCACGTCGTCACTCTGCCCGTCCTTGGGCTCGTCGAGCCTGTTCGGCGTCGCGGACTCTCGCGCATAGCTCGCGCGGCATTGCAGTCGAGATTAAAGAGAGAGAGAGGAGAGGGTTGAGCGAATTTATAGCGCGGGAGGCAGCGGGTTGTCAGCGCGAGGTGCGGGGAGCGCAGGTTGTAGATGAGCAGGACAGGAGGAAGGTGGGGAGTTAGAGGGTTCGACCCGCGGGATGGCATGGTCCTACGTGATTGGGGTGTCCGTTCAAGTGGCGCGCGGTTTCCCGCTCTCCACATTGATCCGAGCATCCCAACTGCGTGGCCAATCACCTCGCGGGGTAAGGATCGAGTTGGGCGGAGGGGAAAACGAAGAGTCCGGCATGGGGAAAATGCGCGCAGCAAGAAGGGAAGATGGCGCGAGGATGCAAAGCAAGAAACGGGGATGAGAGACGCGCGAAGAAATTGGAGCTTGGGCGCGTGCGAGCAAAAATTCAAAAAGTCCCAACCGCACCCGTTTCTTGGTTTTCATACCGCGACCACTATTCGCCCGCGGGAGTTATTAACCAAACAAAATGAAAAAGCCGTTTCAAAAAGAAAACAAAAGCAAAAAAAAAGAAAACCCCTTTCTATCCGCATCCGTACTTCGGGGCTTCCGCGAGATTTTTCCTCAGAGATACGGCAAGCCGCGCGGTACGGATCTGAGCTTATTACATCTGTGATACGCAGGGGGTTCCGAAAAATTAGCAGTCTCCTGACTGCTGATGTCATCATATGTTGGATGATCGGGCGGCCTCTTCATCGTCAACTGGCCCAATCATCTTCCTAATCGACGTGGATGCGTCCTGCATCCTCCATCGCCTCCTCCCATAGTACACATTCGATCGGGCGGTGTCGGGCGCATCGGTTCGGCACCGCACCGGGGCAGCGCGGGACCCTCCTGGCCGCGTCACGCAGGAGTTGGTTTTTAGAACCCTTCGTCGCAATATACATGGAGCTTCCACAAGCCGCTCCGGCCGGGTGCGCCAGCCATACCTCTCGCGAGCCCCTACGACAGGATAGGGCCTACGTGAGGCACGACTTACCTACACTTTACGGAAGCTGTCACCTCCCTTCGGTGGGCGTATCCCCGCCGAGCTACCAGTCCACAGTACGAAAGCTAATCAGTTGCAATCGCAGAGGTGGAC